GTGTTTTTTTCTATGAACTCTCTTAAGTCGTTTCTATGAGAGTCATATAGTGGACACCAAACTAGAAAGTGTTTTTCGTTAAAAACTATAAATAAAGTACAACGACTCCTCACCCCACCCCACCCCTCGCCATAGAAACACACTGTAGCCTTACATTTGCGCAGCGTATAGGCGTGTCCTAATTTGCCTTGTCCTTTAAGTCCAGGCGTGCCTGCGTACCACCGTTATCATGGAAACCAAAATCCCTTTTCCGTTTAACACCGTTTTTTTATGTTTTAAAAGAATGTTATTAAGTCGTCATTTTTCACTAATTTGTTCTAAAATTCATTGAGATCTTAATACTTTAGTGATAACGATTAAATTTACCGAAGTGTGTCAGTAATAACGGTTCGCGACATGGCAAAAATCAAGAGAAGAACGAGTTTCCGACTCTTGGGTTTAAAATTTCAGAGAAATTCCGTGTTTGGTGGCGAACTGAGTGAGATGACATCTGAAGAATGTCTGATACCGATAGTGGTTGAAAAGATGGTCCAGGATATTGAATTCAGAGGTAAGAACGCTTATTTTCTTTCGTCACATATTCTTATTTATACCTCGCTATTTTAACGCTCGCCAGTTTTGAATATCAGCGCGTTTTCCATTTTTGTTCATTTATTTCTAACTATTTATACGTAAGGCAAGTAAGTAGTTAATAATGTAAGTAGGAAAAAGAATAGCTCAAGAATGAGTAAGAAATTCTTGGATTACCGCGCACATTGCGAGTAAATTACGAAGAGAAATAGATCTATAGAAAAATATCACGCCATTGCTCTCTGCTTTTAAATACAATCGCGAGTAAATAAGAGACTTTTTGGTATTATTTTAGGGTTGTATGCTGAAGGTATCTACAGAAAGTCACCTAACGCTGCCACAGTGAGAGCKTTGAAAAATGCAATCGTTTCAAATGGTGAGATTTGATTTTTATTTGTTCTTTTTGTCGCTTGTTGTTGCTTGTTGCTATCTGTTTATTTGCTGTTGTTGTTGCTATTTGTGCTCAGTGTTGTTGTTGCTTCTGTTGTTGCTTCTGTTGTTGCTTCTGTTGTTGCTTCTGTTGTTGCTTCTGTTGTTGCTTCTGTTGTTGTTGTTGCTGTTGTTGTCACTGTTGTTGCTGCTGCTGTTGTTTTTACCGCTGCTGATTTGGTTGTCGCAGCTGTTATTGCTGCTGTCGTTGCTGTTGCTGCTGTTAGTATTAAGCGGTGAATGGAGCTGACCCTTTTTCTTCTTCCAGGAATAGAAGAGGTAGATCTCACAGCCTACTCAGTACACGTGGTCGCGTCTGTGCTCAAACTCTTCTTCAGACAACTCGCCAGTCCTGTCTTCACAGATAGTGTTTATTATGAGTTTATAAGATGTTCTGGTGAGTTATTTGCTTGTGAGCCATTACTATCATTACCATCATTTTCATCATCTTTATCGTTGTCATCGTCATTATGAACATTATCATCACCATTATCAACAACATCATCTTC